GTTAAAGGCACGTCAGGCTATAAGACGGTTCCGTATAGGATACAGGTTCGAATCCTGTCGGAGGACGAATATTTTCTGTGAAAATTTCTCGGACATTCAGGCCGGTAAATGTTGTTTAATACTGTTTATTATAAAACAGAGTATTTACTTAACAATTTGTATCTCTAAAAAGAATGTATAAACATAAATATAACATATGTACAACAAATTAAATAAGATAGTGATAGCAATAACCCCGCAATCCTTAAATGTGGCAGAAACATCAGTTAACTGGACGAAATCAATGCGGGATTTTAGTAATATAAATCACTTATTCGTCCAACCACTTACTCAAACACAGACTAATTTAAATAGAATACGAAACTCATAGCCGAAAAAAACGAAAGGCATCTCGCATCCACCAGAGAACTGACGTCTCTGGTCACCTAAACTGGGGAGGGAAGGGGAATTAAACTAAAGAAAATAGGGACAGAAATAAAAGGGGCCAATGAGCATAGATCCATGAGCTAAACAACTTTAAAGAAACTAAGAACAAAAAGGAACCCTAAACTAGCTTAAATCTGGGCGGGGTTAGCCAATGTTTAAAGCAGAGAGAACAATATCCTGATGCTTAAATCTTAAATTAAGCGCCACATTAAGTCAGTTTTACTTGACCCAAACGCGCAAGACTCACCCACCTTTTGCCAAATTTTGATGGAGGGAGCCGGCAAATTTTCATCCTAATCTTGACTTTAAACACCAGCTTAAAGTACAAGATCAGTTAGGATTGAGTGAACTTCTCACGCCCATAGAATTCCTTCTGGCGCGTTATCCTAATCACGACTCTCATAACATCTAATAAGCAAAAGAACACGTAGTGTTCAGCCTTCGTCAACGGGGGTACGACATTGCTACAGACAGGACAAAAAACTTTCCGCGCAGCATGTGAACCATGATGCGTTCAATAAGCTAGCACAAGTGGACTACGACCCTGCAATGAAAGAATGAGTGACCCAGGGTCTTCACCTATCCATCACAGCGGGCGCAGATTTGAGATTTCTTGAAGCCCTTCAAAGCCTTTTGCTAACCCAAGGGGCCCTGTGAATCACCAGCCAGTTAAGTGATGCCTCATCGTTATTGAGGGATTTCAACCCGGTCGGCCACGGCCATATTGAGCGAGATCGTCAATCAGATCATCATGTACGGATACCTAACTGACACAAAATATAATGCCCTTCGAGACAACGCCTGGATGTTGGAGAGGTCATCTGACCCCTGTAAGAGGTGTTTCAGAGCTCGATAGAAGGAGCACTCGCCTCGAGGTAAACGGCGGGCCTCCTCCGCACACGAGTGCAGACTTCTCAGAGATGGGAAGTTTTTACGGGCGTTTTCCTTCCAGAAGGCGCCCTTCTCATCGGAATCGCGACACATTGGATCTAGGAACGCGATGCGAAGCGTGTGTTGATGAATCTCAACGCTAAGCATATCCAGACATCCTTCAGAAGGTTGGCGGTAACGGATCTCCCGAAGTATCTTAGTGGCCTTACCTCCTCACAAGAGAGAGAACAAGAGCCTTACTAATGATATTAGTGTGGGAGACGGAAATGGAAGCACGGAGAGTTGGTAAAGAAGAATCGAGTAGATGTGCGAGTCACATCCTTCTGCACCCCCCCCCTTTAAGGAAAGGTTCCTCAAGACTACAGACGAACGCTCTGCTCTTTTACCTCCAACCAATTAATTTCTAACTGGATATCGGGACCGAACCAGACGCCGAGTAACTTGAACGGCCCGTTTCGTTCAGAGGAAAGGTCCGGGAAGAGAAACTCCTTTCCACTCACCCAACCGCCAGCCAACAGACTTATCGCGTTTGATCTTGGAACCTGTCACCGTCTCGTACCCTCTGATTACTTCGCTGACTTCGTCAATCTCGGTTCTGCCCGACACAAGAACCGAAACGTCGTCAGCATAGGGAAAATACCTAGCCGATATGGCAGCACCAGGCAGGAAAATTCTACGTAGGATATGATTCTTCATTAACTTGCAAAGGAAAGGTTCCAATGCAAGAATATAAAGCAAAGGCAAAAGCGGATAACCTTGACGAATAGAGCAAGAGAATGCGAAATTTTGCGATCAAACCCCATTCATTTCCACCAGCACACCGGGAGACGCATACAAAAGTTGCATCCAGGTGCGAAAGTATGGCGTGAAACCAACCGCCAAAAATACAGCCCCTAGAAATCGATGGTCAACCCTATTGAATGCCTTGGACTGATCTAAAATGATCAGCGCGGCTTCACTGTCGACTTGCTCAATGATCAAGCGTACCATATGAAGGTTGTCCTAAATAGTCCTGCCCTTCACAGCACAAGTCTTTTCGGAGCCAATTAGGCTAGACCGGATAACCTGCAAACGGTTGCCTAAGATCTTGATTAAAATCTTTAACTCTTTATTTAATATAGTTAAAGGCCGAAAGTTACCTATCACATGCACATCGTTCTTGTCCTTGCGTAACAACTTGATTACACCCCCAGTTGAAGCGTTGAGGTAGAGACCCCTTCTTCAACCTGTTGTTGAAAATTAGTGCCAGCAACCTGCTTCGGCGCATCCAGATATCCGACTGTGATGGGACCCACACACCCAGCCGCTTCAGCAACCTCGAGGCAAAGTAGGCGTCAAACTGGGCAGTGCTCAGACCGGGCTCCCTGGTGAACAGCTCCTGAAAGTAATCACGAAAAGCCCGCGTTTTGTAGTCACGGATTATCGGGCCGTGGTGACGCACGCGACATGTCGATGAGAAACATTTTTAACTTCCTCTGCAGGCAATTCAGTGGCCATATTCGTTGCCTCGGAAAACATTCGGAGCTTGATATTTCTTGATAATCAAGGAGGTCAAGTCTGTCCTAGCTAGAGCTACGTACACACTATCACGGCCTTTAATTGTCAGATCAACTTTTTGCTCACAGGCCGTTTGCACCGCTAATGTATCTAGATTGAGCCCCCGTCAGTTCCTGCTGAAACATTAGCAGCAGCTGATCCCGGAAATCTTGCTCAGCAAATAGTATCAGAGTAAAAAACAATAATTATTTCTTCTATGTACAGAAAATGTGGCACAAGATCAAAATGGGGGATGGGGTAAAGGACGGTCTTCATCTGTCTTAACATTAAACTTAGCTATCCACAAACACTGACCCACAATATTCCTTACACCAAACAACGCATTCTTACTTACCTTTCTTGCTACATCCCCCATAATACCACAATGTCTCTATGACAATTCTATGTACAACTAGCAGCATTGCCCGTGCTTGATTCAAAAATCGTACAACTCATACAGCAATCGCTATCACTTGACTTAAAATATTTTTGCCCTTCCTTGCCTTTAAAGGAATGCCCTTTCCCGTGCTGATGTTGCCATATGGCTTACTTCTTGCCTATCTCACACTGCGAATTTTTTCTAAGCTTTATACTAAACATTAAATCTGTTACGAAAAAAGAACTAAACAAAATTAACACAAAACGATCAGCTTTAAAAAAGGACTCGTGACTGGAAAAACCGAATGAAAAAAGAATGTTAACAACAAATACTTTTTCACACCGAACCCAGTTCTGCGGAAACAGAATCAACGTTGAGTTTAAGCAAGCGAATGAGCCAATTGGAGTAAAGTGCCATGCAGATTTAAATTTTTCCCACTTGTGACGAATGCAGCTATCGATTTTTTTTTTTGCATGCTAGCATACTAGTTAACATTCGTGTCAATCAGCTGTTGGCGCTCACGCTGGCCAATAGAATCTTCCTGCCTATTTGTGGCAGCCAGCTATTGGCTCTCACTCTGACCAATAGAAAATGGCCGCAAACTACGTGACAACTGCCGTAGAAGCATGAAAAAATCGATTATTTCCATTATCGATGGGAGTTGGGAAATGCAATGTCGGTCTTGGGCTTCCCGCTAACTTGGAGCATGTGCATGTAAATTTTGGTGCAAATCCGTCGAAAATTGCGGCCGTGCATTCATTGCACACACACACACACACACACACACATTCTGCCTTTGAAAGATAGAGATTCATAGTCTGGTGGGGTGGGGAGAATAAAACAACAATTTAAAAACTATCCCCAATCTATTTACGAGAAACTAAACAAAATAATGTTAGTAATAACCCCCCCCCCCCCCTAAATGTGGCAGAAATATCAATTAACTGGACGAAATCAATACGGGACTTTAATAATATAAAATCAATTATTTATCCCAAACACTCATTTAAACACACATTCATCCAGATACAACACCGAATACGAAAATCACACTAGAATTGAAAGGAGCCCCGCATCTACCAGAGAACTAACATCACTGATAACCTAAAAAGGGGAGGTTTTGGGGAATTTAACAAAGAAAAAGAGTGGAGAGCTCATCTGAATATTTATCATGAAATATTTATAGAAAAACGTACAGGGAAGCACCTATACGACGGTGGGAAATAGACTGAAGCCGTGCCGCCAGATCAGGACCAGTAATATTGCTGATTCTTCTTTCAATCTTATCAAGGGGCTCAATGTAAATAGCAGTGGCACTGGGCCATATGTTGCAGCAATATTCTAAGTATAGACGAATGGTAAACTTATAGACAAGTAAGATAAATTCTGGAGAGAAGAATTGTCTCGCACGACACAGTGAACCAACTTTCTTAGTAACTGACCTAGCAGTGGAGTCAATGTAGTCTTTCCACTTCATGTCAACTGAGAACGTTAGCCAGAGAAGGCTCAACAAGTTAATTTCCTAGAGGTTAGCATCAGCCATGCTGATGGAAGGCAGAGAGGGGTTTCTTAGATTATTACTGAAGGGAAGTTTAGTTTTGGAGGTGGTAAAATTAACAAGCCATCTTTTGTCCTAATTAACGACGGACTTGATATCGTTTTGGATATCGGATACCAGACTACATGCTATTTCCACGGAACCGAGTAATCCTCATTTACCCCTATACCAAAAGAAGAAAGTTCCACAAAGATAGCTCTTTCGCATACTGCCATATCACATTAAAATACCGGTTCTCGTACAATCACCGAAGTTAAGCAACGTCGAATCTGGTCAGTACTTAGATGGATGACCGCTTGAGTATTGCAGGTGTTGTCAGCGTGGATGTGCTGGTGGTGTTATGGATAACGTCTCGAATGCGAAATCGGAGAGCCGAGTTCCAACTTAGGCGCGAATTTCTATTCAATTTCTATTTCTCTTCCTATACGAGAACTAGATGGGTAACTGCTTGGTGCTGTAAGATTGGATGTGAGGGTGGTGTCATTTCTAATGGCTCAGAATTGTTAATCGGAGAGCCAAGTTCCAATTCCAGTTGGGTTCATTATATTTATTCACAAATCGCCTTGGGAAATATATGAATCCACCTATTCTCCCCCAAACTATGGGTTAATTATTAAGACGTGTATCAGTAAATCATTATCATCTCCAAAAAACTTCGTACAATCTAAAAATATTTTCTGCCTCTAAATAACATTGAAAAGGTTGATAGACCATAAAAAACAATCAATCAACGAAATAGCTCTTCCCCCAAAAACTACCACTTTGTAGATTATACAAACGCATGGTTTCTTTCCTGAATAATACAACTTAATCTCTTTAAATCTAGAGTAAATCTTTATCTATCCGCCTCATCCTCATAATATTCACTTCTTACCACCTCCTATTTCATTTATATCATACATGTAATTCATCATTATCATTTTAACTGTAACATTGATTGAGTGGCTCTCGAGCATTATAAAACTTTATTATAAAAAATGTTTATTAGTTCTATGTAAAAAAGAATAAAAGGAGAAAAATATATGAATTAATATATATCTATGCACGCATGCATGTTTGTGCGTGTGTTTATATGAACTGGCACTATGTAGAACTGACTCCTGCGGGGGTGCTTCTCTAAGCACAACAATCTTGAACTCTTTACTTCAATGGTCATTCGTTATCTTTCTTATCCTTATACTCTTTACTTTCTAACATCTTCGCTTTCTTATATATCACGCACCTCATTCGTAATGATTTTAACACTAAGTCTCTACCTTGAAAGGCTGTCGTGCTTTGTAATAGGTTAATTCAAGTATTTACAAGAAAAGCCATACGAAATGCAGGCGATTAAAACATTGGTAAAGAACAAATAAATAACTCTAAGCATTTATGAATTTACGCACTCAAACCCTGGGTCTTTGGCAGTTTATTAAATTGCTGACCTCAAAACCTCATTCCTTGGCGATGTACTGATTGTGAACATTTTGGGTAAAATTCTCTTTTTCGGAACTGTTGTTTAATTGTACAGTGTAACCCGGATATAAGAGAAACCCGGATATAAGAGAGATTTTCTCTGGTCCCAAATTAGAGCCATACTTACCTAAACAAAATAGACCAAACCCGGATATAAGAGAAACCCCGGATATAAGAGACTTCTTCTCCGGTCCCAACAACTTTCTTATATCCGGGTTACACTGTATGAGTAAATGGTTTATGACTACATGTCATCGGAAAATTGTACTTAATTTTGCCCAACGCCGTAAGATACACTTCTTCATTTATATCCCGTGTCCCTTCAGGAAGTTGGCGATCGTGGCTCTCCACATTTTCCTGCCCCTTGTAGCTTTTAATAAGTTTTGTCTTTCTGTTATTTCTCCCAAACCCTGTTCTATCATCCATTTACTCAGGCTCATCATGTATGGTACGCATTGTTTCTATTCTGTCCCTCTTTCCATCAAGCTGCCTTGTGAGTATCAGATTTTCCAAGCCCTCCTTCCTCATTACGTGCCCCAGAAATTATATACTTGACGAACTTGAGAAAATGGATGGCGGAACCGTGTTTACATACAAAGAAAAAACAGAATGTATTTACAGCTGCAAGGAACAAGAAATTGTGGAGAGCCATGTTCGCCCACGTCCTGAAGGGACATGGCACATAAGGAGAGTAGAGATTCTCCTCACTCCTATGTTAATGTAGCCAGTAGGAGTTTCCCTTTGCTTAAATACGGTTGAATAAGTAAAACACATGGGAGTGAAAAAAAAATCTTCATGTATGTTGCTAATCTTGGGCAAAAGTTGTTTGTAAATTGATTGATCTTTGCTTGGTATTATTTCTGGCTTGCTGGTCGATAGAAACGTGCCAAGAATCGCTGAGTATTCTTGCTAGCGTTCTAGTTTTTCAACTCAGGAGCGCTTATCATAATCTACAATTAACGACATTGATGGTAACGACATCAAATGTGCAAATTAAATAAATTGGATAAAGTGTTTGTAAAAAAAAAAAAAAAGAAACGTAGAATATTTATCAAATTTAGGAAATCGTGTTCGGCAAAATAAATGAAGCTCAAGACAAGTGAAAATTTTGGATTGATAAGCCATATTGCTTTATTGATTGCTGAACTAACATGTCGTACTATCGTCTTGCATGACTTGTAAACAATTTTCTGTTTTAAAAAAATAATAGCTAAAATGACTTCTTAATCTATGTGCTGTGAATGTTCAGGACGTGGGCGATCATAGCTCACCATAATTTATTGTCCTTTGTAGCTTTTAGCTAGCTTTCCTAAGCACCATTTACACAAGCTCATAAGATAGGTTATGCACTGTTTTTCTCTTTCCATATTCTGTTAGTGTCAAATGCATAACCCTCTTTCCTCAACATGTACACTAGAAATTTCAGCAGTCACTTTCTAATGTTAAGTATAAGTTTCCTTTCTGTTACCATTTTCTTCGTCATTATCCAGTCTATGGCATTCTAAGCATCATTGTGCAGAACCAAATTTCTGTTGCTTCAAGTCTCGTCTTTATGAGGAGATTGTGCAGTATTCACAGCCATATAGAACGATTGATAATACATAACGATTCAGTACACTTTCCTTTGTTTCTAGCAAAATTATTTAATATTTTGCTTATCTTTTAGAAGACATTTTGCTATCCCAATACACCATCGGATTTCGGTGCCGCACTTCCGTCCTCCGTTAAAACACTTCCCAGATATTTACATTATTGTATTTACTTGATTTTGGCACCGCTAATTTATTATTCAGTTTTGGGGCTCTTCTTGCTGATAACCATTCATCTGGTCTTCTTGACGACTACTATTAATGCCATCCTCTTGATGACTACCATTTGTTCCCTCTATTTGATTACAAGCATTCATTCTTTCTTCCTAATGACAAGCATTCATTCTTTCTTCCTAATGACAAGCATTCATTCTTTCTTCCTAATGACAAGCATTCAGCTGTCTTCTTGACGACAAGCATTCATTTTGTGTTCTTACCAACAGCCATACATCGCTCTTCTTCACGACAAGCATTCATCCTGTTTTTTTTACCGACAACCTGTCATCTTAAAGACTGCCATTCATTCCATCTTGATGACTAGCATTCATTCTTTCTTCTTATTGACAACCATTCATTTTGTCTTCTTAATGACTAGCATTCACTCCATCTTCTTGATGACTAGCATTCATTCCAGCTTCTTGATGACTAGCATTCATTCTGTCTTCTTACTAGCAACCATTCATTCTGTCTTCTTGATGACTAGCATTCATTCTATCTTCTTGATTAGCATTTATTCTGTCTTCTTACTAACAACTATTCATTCCATCTTCTTACTGACAACCATTCATTCCATCTTCTTACTGACAACCATTCATTTTGTCTTCTTAATGACTAGCATTCACTCCATCTTCTTGATGACTAGCATTCATTCCAGCTTCTTGATGACTAGCATTCATTCCAGCTTCTTGATGACTAGCATTCATTCTGTCTTCTTACTAGCAACCATTCATTCTGTCTTCTTGATGACTAGCATTCATTCTATCTTCTTGATTAGCATTTATTCTGTCTTCTTACTAACAACCATTCATTCCATCTTCTTACTGACAACCATTCATTCCATCTTCTTACTGACAACCATTCATTTTGTCTTCTTAATGACTAGCATTCACTCCATCTTCTTGATGACTAGCATTCATTCCAGCTTCTTGATGACTAGCATTCATTCCAGCTTCTTGATGACTAGCATTCATTCTGTCTTCTTACTAGCAACCATTCATTCTGTCTTTTTGATGACTAGCATTCATTCCATCTTCTTGATTAGCATTTATTCTGTCTTCTTACTGACAACCATTCATTCCATCTTCTTACTGACAACCATTCATTTTGTCTTCTTAATGACTAGCATTCACTCCATCTTCTTGATGACTAGCATTCATTCCAGCTTCTTGATGACTAGCATTCATTCCAGCTTCTTGATGACTAGCATTCATTCTGTCCTCTTACTAGCAACCATTCATTCTGTCTTCTTGATGACTAGCATTCATTCCATCTTCTTGATTAGCATTTATTCTGTCTTCTTACTAACAACCATTCATTCCATCTTCTTACTGACAACCATTCATTCCATCTTCTTACTGACAACCATTCATTTTGTCTTCTTAATGACTAGCATTCACTCCAGCTTCTTGATGACTAGCATTCATTCCAGCTTCTTGATGACTAGCATTCATTCTGTCTTCTTACTAGCAACCATTCATTCTGTCTTCTTGATGACTAGCATTCATTCCATCTTCTTGATTAGCATTTATTCTGTCTTCTTACTAACAAACATTCATTCCATCTTCTTACTGACAACCATTCATTCCATCTTCTTACTGAGAACCATTCATTCCGTCTTCTTGATGATCACCATTCGCTCTCTCTTCTTGATGACGTAAGTAAGCGACAGTTAAAAGTTCAGTAATACGTAATGAGAAAAGAGGAACTAGAGAATTTGTCACTTACAGGATACATTGAAATGAGACGTATTTAACGAGCTTTTGTAATTGGATGACAGAAGAGGGACAACAAGGAATACAAAAGCCACAATAAAGCAACCATGTGTGCCATGAACACCGATGTCCTGGAAGGACTTAGCACATAAAAGATGAATAATCATCTTTGAAGAAAGTAAGAACAGAGAAGAATCTATGTTTGAGTCAATCGATGGCAAAATACGACCAAGGGGCTGTAAGAAACAGGAAGTTGTGAAGAGCCATAATCATCCTAGTATCCTAAATATATCGAACTCAAAATGATCGAACTCTAGGCCTATGCAGCGATTTTCCAAGCGTAGCTCAGATGTAGCACAAGGCCGAAAGTATGGGGTACTCAGTGAGGATCGAACTCACTACTCAGTCGTAATAGTTCTAGCGAGACAAGCTTGCTAACCATTACACCACCTCGAGATGTCCAACTCTAGGACTATGTTAATCTGATTGTAAATCATTGTTTCTCCGTGGTAGGAGTAGAAGTATTACTCGTGCTAAGTAGCCATTTATCTAGTTGGACTTCCTAGAAAAAGTATGGTATTTTTGCAGTACGAGTAAAAAGTGTGAAAGTAAACTTTTAATGAAAGGAAAAATATTCCATTGAATGGATCTAGCTAGGTTAAAAGGTAGAACAAAAGAAAAAAAAACAGGATTTTTCTTCTCCGTTTTAGGCCTTGTGTGACATTAATTGTTAATCAACAGTAATAAATATCAACTTCTATAAAAATAACTAAAGGTGTAGCCTATCTGTGTTTGGTGAAAAACTGTAAATTTCACTTGTGAACCTCTTGGGATAACTAAATATGAAATGAAGTATGGCTACAATGGCTGGGCTGGGGTTGCACAATTTTCCCTGTCCAACCTTAAGTCATTCAAAAGTCGTTTACGTACTTTTGTAGGGAAAAGATTCTCCAACTTTTCAACTTCTTTCCCCACAGACGCAACGTTGAATACTTATTACCACTCTATTTCCTTGACAAATGTTCAGATGAGCGCTCCATTCTTTAGTTCTAACTGTTCAGACATTTACAGCTTTGACAAGCTATACTATTTCGAGGGAGTTGAATCACGCTTATTCCCTCCGTATTCCATTTGTAAAGAGCAAGTTCCACACGGACAGGTTTTTTTTTCCCAAGAGCCACTGCTTGGTGAAAGAGAGACTTATGTGAATGTTTCCGTCAAACGCAACAATCTTAACTTCTTCAAATCAACGGTCAGTCATTACCTATGCTCCATATCTTCATTGGGTTCACTTCTTGTCACCCACCATTGCTTTTGTATCGCACATTCATTTGGAATTTTTTTCCTACTTTTTCTTTTAGTCCATTCACCCTAAGCAAGGCGATAATGCCACTAAGACGCAATGGCTTTCTGGGAGTGAAAAGGAATGAAAAGACTTTAAAAAGAACCGAAAACCTAATTCTCAGCTCCAGGAGATAAACCTCTACTCCTATTTAAAAGATTTAGGAGTGTAAACGGTAAAAATTTAGGGATATAAAAAAACGAAGATTGATTTTTTACGGCTTATCAACACTTTTGCATGTTATTTAAAGCTAGGAATATTTTTACATTGTAAGAAAAGTTGAGATAATAATAGTTTAGTGATGCAAGCTTTACAAATTAACTGGGATTCATACGTTTCTCAAGGGTATTTACGCGTAAATGAATATATGGGACCCAATGAGAATTGAAACTCGTCTCTACAGTTAACAATTCCGAGCCGTTATACATTACACCACCCGCACATCTAAGCATACAGAACCAGGTATTCCTATGCAGTCACCCATCTAGGTACTGACCTGACTTGACGTTACTTAACGGAAACCAGTGTTTCAACGTGATGCGGCCGAAAGCTCTGAAAAAAGAAAGAAAAAAGAAAGAGGGTAGCCATATCAGATTTCATAGCCAAAAATATTGGAATATAAAAGAAGAAATAATTCTTTCTTTATTTTGATGGTTAAAAAAAATTTGATATGAAAGAGAGGATCGGTTCTTAAAATATTCGAATCCCAACGCAGCACAACACGAATATGAATTAAAATAAAAGCGTAAAAGGAATTAATTGAATGAACCAAAAGACAAAAAAAAAAAAAAAAGAAAGAAAGAATAATTCAGAAACAATAATCAATTTTTCTTTGTTTTCAAATTACAAATAAATATATATTCAGAAAATGTTGCTCAATCGGGATGTAAATAAATGCATATGTCGTTATAGACAAAACAATAATTATCTGAAAAACAAAACGTTTATAGTCATTAGCAGCATCTGATGATAATACTGCCTTTTATGTCAATAGAAAAATTGGCAGCCTTAATTAAATTTGAAAGTATAAGAACAGTCAATATGTGAACATATCGTTTTTATTTAACAGAAATGTAACAACTGTGTACACACGAATAGCTTTAGGCCTTTCCATTAATCTTGATTATTTATGTGTGAACGAGTTAATTTGAATTAATATTTATTTTATAAAACTTTACAAAATGTGACATAAAAATCCGATAAGCAAACTAAGGAAGAGGTTGGTATTATATTCACTGTTTTACTCTTAGCTAAATTCATTTATGGCCGACGCATGCGCGGTTGTTTCGCAAACCAATTCATCCGTCACTAACAATCTTTGTCAGTCACCATTATACTGTATTCGCTCTAGGGACCAGAAATATATTTCCATGATAATATATACAATTTTAATGATTTATATACAAAGGAACGATGATGAGAGGTGGTAACACTTAAAATAAAGTGGCTTAATTCGTATGGGTTCATCTTTACCGTTGATTTGAAATATAAAATCTACTGTTTTCTGGGAGACCAGGCGCTATGCAGTTTTCTTTTCGTATGCCTATCCCAGAAACAAATGTGGACGATATCTAGCAAGGGTAAAAAATGGACAAAACAAATAGGAGAATGAGATTTAATAAAGGGATCTCTTAGAGCAGACGTGTATCTAAAACAAGCGGATGCGAAGAAAAACAAAACTGCCTGCGGAAGCCTCCGTGAACGAGTCGACTCTTATTATGATTCTGCTCAGAATTTCTTCTCTTAACCTGGAGGATGATGCTCATACCTCTTACGCCACCTAGTTTACGTTGATTCATCGGTATTTCCGTCAAATATATTTTATTTTACATTTACCTATGTTAACATTTTTCTTGATTCAATGATCAACATTTATTTTTAAAAAATAATTATCTCAAAGTCCTGCAATAAGGATGAAGAAGATGTTGGTTTTGTCCTTTCTAAACGTTTCCCTGGAAATAGGCAGGAACTTCATGTAAAAAAAAAGCGAGGAAAATATACAAAGCAAATAGAATAAATGATTTAATAAAGTGTGTTTTTTTTAGGGCGGATTTCTGCAAAAACCTTTTAAAAAGCGGCAGTTGGATGTCTTCTCGTCCAAACGTAGAATTGGCTCCGAAGTAACTTTGTCCATACTTTATACGACATAGCTATGCGTAAAAAAATTCCAACATGGCGTCCATTCCCCCACACAAGACCAGCTAATTTTTACCTGTTTTCCGCAAAAGACGAGGGGATTTAATTTTTTTTTTATGAAAACCAATTGTCACTTGAAGCTTATGTTTAAACTATGAAACTATCATCACGTTAAAAAAGATTTGTTCTCGTGAATTTCTTCAAACCCATATCCATACCAACATTTTTGCCTCAGGTATCAGCCACTTTCTCCTTCTCTAACACAAGAAGATATACGTTACACTGGCATGTTCGGTTCAACCTCCATGGTAGAGCAGCTGCGATTTATAGACATTAGTTAAATACTGATATTAAAATACTTTGGCCTCTGCTGCCTAAGTCATAGGCTCTCAAAATTAAAAATTAAGTGGGTCTTGGACAAAGTCATATTCATTGACAGAAGAAAAGTCACTCACAATGGCTTGCAAAATGAGCATTGATAGAGTGAGTAAATAGCACCCAGAAGTCATATATGCAGGAATAGATCTGAGACGATACAAGCCGTCAAACAGCCCAAATAATCCCCATAATTAGGACGCGTGTTCAGCTGTTCTTTCCAGTCCTTCAGTAAAACACTCACATTCTTGATAATCATCCAATCGCAATTTTTGAATAACAACATGATCCAGACCAGTTGCTACCCGATCACACTCCGAGCGAGCTTCACTCCGTGTGAATCCGACGCGAAACCCTCCATTATTTTGCGAGATCGTAGATCTTTGAACCAAGTTTGGGCAGTGCACGTAGGCATGAAACGCTTTCTCCCCACCTGGCACCAACTGACTCTGAGCCATTCAGAATTTACGGTTTTCTCGGGAAAACTACACTAGCAAAAATTTAGGGAAAGCCACATTAACTCACGTGACACCCATTAAAACCATTCATGCAGAATGAAACATTATTTAGGTGGCGAGATGACGTGTTTGAAAAAGAAAGAAGTAGGCTGAAACGTAAAGCGAATGTCAACAACGTAATATCATGGACTGGTCATTGCAATCGCTTTATAATCAAAGCTGGGTAATTTTGGAAGTTTGGGTAGACGGTGACCAAAAAGGGCGAGCACTCAGACAAAGACTGCTTGTTGTCGCCCTCTTTGAGTCGCTAATTTATAATTAGGGTTGCCCTTTAAATTTAAATATTCCGGGAGAATATTTAAATTTGTTTTACGATTTTAATCACGCAGAAATGAAGGCTTCTCATTTTCTCATTCGATCACAGAAGTTAGGCAGTATCGAGGCTGGTCAGTCCTTAAATAGTGTTTGTTTAGGAACACTGAGTATTCTAAGCTGTAGGGGAGTATTGCACGACAAAAAAAAAAATGAAAAAAAAAGACAAAAAAATGAAAGAAAAGACAAAAAATGAAAAAAAAACAAACAAAAAATGAAAAAAAAAATGAACAAAAAATGAAAGAAAAGCCAAATAAATGAAAAAAAAAACAAACGAAAAAAATGATAGAAACGACAAAAAAATGAAAAAAAAAACAAACACAAAAAATGAAAGAAAAGCCAAAAAAATGAAAAACAAACAAACAAAAAATGAAAGAAAAGACAAAAAATGGAAAAAAAAACAAACAAAAAAATGAAAGAAAAGACAAAAAAAATGAAAAAGAAACAAACAAAAAAATGAAAGAAAAGTCAAAAAATGGAAAAAAACAAACAAAAAATGAAAGAAAAGACAAAAAACATGTAAAAAAATAGGGAAGAAAAGACAAATAAATGAAAAAGAAGACAAAAAAAATGAAAAAAACACAAAAAAATGAAAGAAAAGACAAAAAAATGTAAAAAAAACGGTGGAATACTGGAAGAAGAAAAAAATCGGGAGTAATTGATAACTGATATCATTTTATACATAAATTTATGATTTAACTAATCGTGCACTTTGTCAATCCACATCTGTTGGGAAAAAATAAATTATAGAGCGAAATATAAAAGCTTCAAAAATAGGAAATTTTGCACACAATATATAATTATTTTTTTTTATGTCTCCATCGCGACAAACGAATTAATGTTTCGAAACAGAAACTTAAATCCCAAAATTAACTTTAAAAGTTAAATTTAAAATTCGTAGTCCAATTTCATTCTCAAGATATTTATATACTTAAAGATATTTAGATATTTATTTGTACGATAGTACTAAATGTGGCACAAGGCCAAAAGGGGGGTTGGGGGAAAAAGGACGGTCTTCTTCTGTCTTAATTCTAAACTTAGCTAGTCACAGACACGAACCCAAACATACCAACAATATTCCTATCACCAAAACAGCACATTCTCTCCCACCTTTCTTACTACATAGACCATAATACCTCAATTTCTCTATGAAATCCTAACTAGTCCCCATATGTACATTTCAAAGTCTGTGCGGGGAGGGGAATAAAACAATAATATAAAAGCCCCAATGATTATTTACAATATGAAGTAATATTGTTTACATGAAACCCAAACAAAATAAGGTTATTAATAAAACCCCCGACAATCCCTAAATGTGGCAGAAACATTAGTCAACTGGACGACAAAAATTGAGGAATTTTAATAGTAGTGAAGATAAAAATAATTTACGAAAAATTTGATTTACTCTATTTATAAGTTAAGTTTGTGTTAAGAGAATTTCCCATTTTTATTATTAAGGAGTTTTGGCGACTTTTAAAATGAAGGAAGTGATAGTATCTTCGTGTGGCAAAATTTAAAGTCGGTTATGGCTGAGTAGGTGTTTAATATTTCTGTCTGCCTACACTGGCATTATTTCAAGTTGTCAAATTATTAATGTCTGGTTTATTTTTTTTCCTATTTAAGGTTTACGTTACAATATATTTGGCATTTTTATTTATTTATTTATTTTCCTTTTTTTTAAATTTTAAATTTAACTTTTAAAATTAATTTTTGGGATTTAAATTCTAGTTTAGAAACATAGTAATTTCTGTGTCGTGATGGAGACATATTCTCAAAAATAATTATAATATTATGCACTACTTTGTATCGAGCACTGTTTTTTAAAAATAAATGCTGAATAACTGGATTATAAATCTGACTGTCCATTCCAATTATTTTATATATACATACATACATACATACATATATATATATATATATATATATATATATATATATATATATATATATATATATATTATTTATTTAAAAAATATGATTCCAAATCGCGACATAAGAAGTCTCATGTTTCCAAACGAGAGCCGAAAACTTCAATATAATTATTTGAATTAAATTGAGTTAAAATAAGCTCTGTTCCATCTTCAAGCGAAATTTTTTTGGGAATAACGTATTTCTGAAATTTACGTGTTTTAAAAATTGAAATCAAAATTTCCATGGTCACAGCTAGGGCGAATTGTTTAAATTGGGTAGGCGAGTGTTGGGTGTTAATAATAAGTATCAGTATAGAGTTACTTTCATAGATGTCAAGTCAGGGAAAGGTGGGGGTGTCTAAATTTGAAACGGAAGATGTATTAACCCTCGTCTAGTTTGCGTGTCTATGGAGATTTATTTATTTTTTATGAAAGGGATTTGTGCATATAAAAAAAAAACCGTCGTAACGTTTGTTTTTTGACGACTTCATAAAGGGTTATCTATTTTGTAGGCTATTTAAATTATTTATTTGTTCTATGGATTATGAAAGTTGTTATATTGTATGCATGTTTTTAGCTAATTATTCAAACCATGAATTTGATGATTGGGCTATGGATTAAACAAGTTATTATATTGTATGCTTGTTTTTAACTAATAATTCAAACCATAAATCTGATGATGTCTACAAAAAACCGTTAACTCATGTCTATTGTTTAATAGATTATTATTATTTAGAAGCTTAATAATGTGCAATTTCTCATGGAGGCACAAAGGGCATGGGTGATCCCAAGTTTTACATGTTCTAGCCTTGTTTATAATTTTCTATTATATTTATGCTCTACTTTTGTATCGAGCACTATTTTTTAAAAATAATAACTAAAATACTAAGGGACTTTGGATTATTTACCTAACCAGTTCCTTCCTATTTTCTATATATTTTCACACACACACACACACACACACACACACACACACACACACACACATATATATATATATATATATATATATATATATATATATATATATATATATATATTGCATGTCCGAATTATGCCTGCACAAAACTGAAATGTATTTTCAATAGGAAGGAGGAAATTTTGAAGAGCACATAAGACAAACAACTAGTAAATTAAATTTTTATGGAACTTCCTACCTGCGCTCCATGCTTTCCAGCCAACTTTAAGCTAAAAACAATTAAATGCAATGTCAATCGCTACCTACTGTCATCCTTCTTACTCTCTTCCCTTCTCGCTCATTATTAATGTTTCTGTTCCTAATTCATAGACACCCTCTATAACCCCTTGAGTCTTAGTGCCTTGCTTGGGGTGTAATCCATTTAAAAAAGTGTAATTAGGCTTTTCATCAAGCTGTATATCAAACGAATCTCTTACAATAATTGTAGAATTGTCCCTTTCAGAAGGTCTGTTACTGTGCCATCTACGTGTGGTACGTTTTCGTTTTTTTCATTTTAATATATGAGTATTTGTTACCTCTGGTTAACATTGTTATTCTTCGGGTCCGAAAAAGAGTTGAAATTTATCAGTGGATTGGAATGAACTTTCACTACAGACCTGCCCAGGAAGAATTTATAATGGCAAAATCTCTCTAACTCACTCTCTCTCTCTCTCTCTCTCTCTCTCTCTCTCTGATGGAAATCGTTACAACTCTAGATTTTCGGCTGCCACGTAAAAGTCTTCCTCATCTATTGATGAGGAAGACATTTTCGTGTCACGTTCATACTACTGGATAGATAATTATGCTGTTACACAATTTGCCCAATTTGCTGTTACGCCCGGTACTTCTCATCAGAGGAATACAGTGGGGATGACGGTAGCCATAAAGGCTAGAAATGGCGGAACATGTTCCAATCCTTTTTGGTAGTTTTAGTCCCGCCTTTTCATTGTCTCGTACATTGTCGAAACTCTAATTCATTAACTCAATTGGAAGTTCTCTGTTCGATATCCACAGTTAATTTTTATTTTCCCGAGTATTTCAAACTCATTTGAGAAATTTACAGAAATATATATGCACATTCACAGATGGTCTCAGATGATATTGAATATACTTGGGAAAAATTATTTGAAAGAAAATGTTGATATTTTCTAAGGATACCATGAACTTAATACGTGAATTTGAAAGGATCAAACCGAAATAAATCGACATAACATGTCGAAATTATTTACTCAAACCTGTTCGTATATATATATATATATATATATATATATAAATTGATTTAAAATATGTTTTTTTTCGCTACACAGTTCTAACCATGTTTCAAAAATGAAAGCTAAAAGCCCCGAATTTAATTTTGTAATTAAATTAAAGACATTAGTTCCATTTCATCGTCAAGCGAATTTTGGAGTAACTTTTAAAATTGCTGGGTTTTAAATACACAGCTAAAACAAAATTCATGTTTCCAAGGTTACAGATAAATCTATTTTTCTAGACAGGGGTGTCTGGGTGTTCAATATGTCTATATTTTAATGTATCAGTTATTGATACGTTTTGGTAGTGGGTAGAGATGTATTTTTCAGTGATATCTAACATCCGTTAAAAGCGTGTCGTCTGGATTTTTTTAAAATTATATTGTTAACGGCTAAAATTCTTACTGCATTTTTTTCCTTCGTATATTTAAAGATTTTTTTTTTTTTGTGGGGGGTTAGAATACTTTTTATTTAACTACGATTTGAAATATTTTACTTTTAATTTTTAATATACTATATTTCTTTCAAGAACAATTAAATGTAATTAGAATCCCTTACAGTTTGTATAATCACAACAAGTATATTACGATTTTTAAAATGTTATACTTAAATATTACTAAAGTAAAATTTTCATTTCTCTGATTTAGTACACTTTATTTATTTATTTAATTACAATTTAAAAGAAGTTTAGGTTAGAATTTATTTTAATGTACTACAATTTTAATTACAACTTTAAAATATTTTCATTATTAGTTTTTATAAACTATATTTCATTTAATAGAAGTAAATAGAGTTACTTACAGTCATTAAAATTATTTTTCTTCATCAAGTATATTTATATTACGATTTTTTAAAATTTTATATTTAAATATTTTTTAAGTATTTTTTAAGTAAAATTTTTTTCAATAGTACTTAGTTTACTTTCACTAAGAAAATGCTTGACTATTAATATTTCATGTTAAATATAAGTATGTATATTATCTAATCCTATTTTATAAAATTATTTTTATTTTTAAATATTATTTAAGGAAAATTTTTGACAATGGCGGCATAAAATAGCTATTTTATTTCTCTGATTCAGTAAATTTTATAATATATATATATATATATATATATATATATATATATATATATATATATATACTGTTAAATAACGAGCCGTTCTAAGCTTCGTATAGTGGCTTTAATTTCCTGAAATTAAAGAAAATATACGGAGTTAAGTACGGCGCATGATCAAACATAATAGACATTCGTTGTCTGTTATATTTAACAATATATGTCTGAATAATGATCTGCTGCCCCAATACACTATATATATATATATATATATATATATATATATATATATATATATATATATATATATATATATACTTTACAAGTGGAATTTACTAAAGGGTCCTTAATTCCAATTGTAAAGAAAATTTGCTCTGTTTAATGAAGATAGACATTGAACGCTCTTTTGTGAGTCAGTTTTAACATATTTCAAATTCTATGTTGTGTTACTAGGACTCGCGTGGATTATACCAACAGATTACTACATATATATATATATATATATATATATATATATATATATATATATATATATATATATATATAAATGTTGTGTACTGGTGTTAATAATAACACAACACGACGTTAAATAACACTGCTGCAACTTATATTAAAAATAAACAAATATTTTGTTCTTTGGTAAAACTCAAAGTTTCATCCATTAGAAGAGTTCGGTATTACTGGCGGGTAAAAGTTGGGTATATGAAAGTAGATGAACGTACACTTATTTGACATTTTCATTTTTCTGAACCAGTCTAAGGTTTCTTTCGTATTAGGCCACTGATTAACTTCCAAAGCATTTAGAATATATTTGAATGCTCTTTCCAGAATGATTTTACTAATGTGCCATTATTATTTTTGTAAGATGGAGTCGTTTATATTGAGCGTTGTGATAGAAACGAGATTTGTGGTCCTTAATAGAAATGAAAGTTTCTTTTTATGCAATCTATTAATTCTATCCTCAATATTTAAATCGGCAGCTATTTTCTCTGGCTTCTTTATTGATGTTTTCTCTCGCAACTTTCACGCAATCTTTTGTATAACTTGGCATCTTCGTTATTAAGCGATCTGCATATGGTTCTACAGAAGGATGTTAAGGATATCATAGACCGAGCGTGTGAGTAACGATGAGGATGCAAACAAGGAGGACGCTTATACTTAACATCAGGGAGAGGCAGCTGAAGTTTCTGGGACACATAATGAGAAAGGAGGACATAGTGAATCTGATAATCACAGGTCGAATAGAGAGAAAGAAAGACAACGGAAAACAACGTGTGACATACCTGGCGGCTTTAAGCAAGTAGGTGACATAACGTGGTCTGGGGTTGTAAGCAAAGGTCAGAAATTTGTTGAAGTGATAGAGAAAGGTGGGGAGCTATGATCACCTATGTCATGAAAGGACATGGCACATAAAAAGAATGAAGGAATATGCATCCATGTCGGTTTTATAATATTTAACCATTTTGATGGCTTGAATTATTACTTTAGAATTGAGCAACAAATTTATATATATATATATATATATATATATATATATATATATATATATATATATATATACTACTACTACTAGCAGCATGGCTTGGCGTTGCCTGTGCTTGATTCAAAAATCGTACGACTCATACAGCAATCGCTATCACTTGACTTAAAATATTTTTGCCCTTCCTTGCCTTTAAAGAAGTGCCCTTTGCTGTGCTGATGTTGCTACATGCCTTACTTCTTGCCTATCTCACACTGCGAATTTTTTCTAAGCTCTATACTAAACATTAAATCTGTTACGAAAAAAGAACTAAATAAAATGAACAAAAAGCGATCAGCTTTAAAAAAAGGACTCGTAACTGGAAAAACCGAATGAAAAAAGAATGTTAACAACAAATACTTTTTCACACCGAACCCAGTTCTGCAGAATCAGAATCAACGTTGAGTTTAAGCAAGCGAATGAGCCAATTGGATTAAAGTGCCATGCAGATTTAAATTTTTCCCCCTTGTGACGAATGCAGCTATCGATCTTTTTTTGCATGCTAGCATGCTAGTTAACATTCGTGTCAGTCAGCTGTTGGCTCTCACGCTGGCCAATAGAATCTTCCTGCCTATTCGTGGCAGACAGGTATTGGTTCTTACTCTGGCCAGTACAAAATGGCCGCAAACTAAATGAAAACTGCCGTAGAAGCATGAAAAATCGATTATTTCCATTATCGATGGGAGTTGGGAACGGAAAGTCGGTCTTGGCCTTCTCGCTAACTTGGAGCATGTGCATGTAAATTTTGGTGCAAATCCGTCGGAAATTTCGGCCGTGCATTCGTTACACACACACACACACACACACACACACACACACACACACACATCCTACCTTTTATAGATAGAGATTTACATTGTGGAACTGTTGTCTTCATCTGCGTTGCCATATTCACGACTTATCGGCCTTTTTCGGGGCACTGGAATTTCGAACATTTTATTTTGCCCACCGGAATGGATTTTTCTACTCCCATTCCGGATGCGTCAGTGTCAGTTATCTCCCTTTAACTCAGCTCATTAAGTTTTTGTTACCCCCCCCCCCAACTGTAGCCAGCTCTTTGCGTCAACTCACTGGATTCAACTAAGGCTTTTATCCACTGGACTATGTGTCCTCGAGAACATCCGAAAGTGGCATGGCACGAGGAACTAGAACAATCAACCCCAGTGGACGAAATAAAGGGTTCAGTCCGAAATTCGAAACACGTGAAGAAGGCCGGAGCGTACAACGGCCGAAACGTCGTGAATATGGCAACGAAGATTTGAACAGCAGTCCGAACAATGTAAATAGTGCAAATAATTACAATTACCCATCTCAGAAATAACGACAGATATGAATAAGAAACTTGAAGCAACAGAAATGTGGTTCTACAATAGGATTCTGGGAATAACATGGACCAGACATGAGAGCAACGAGGAATGAAAATGGGAACGTAAAGGAAACTTGTGCTTCGAATTAGAAAAAAAGACAGTTGATATTTCTTGGAGACATAATTGAGAAAAGAGTGCTTGGTGAATTTGACCCTCAGAGGACATATTGAAGGGAATATACTTAGATCGAAACAGCGTGTAGCCTAGGTAACGAGCTTTTGCAAACGTATGGCAAAAGATGAAAATGAATTATACAAAATATTGTTTAGAGTTACATAGAAGAGGAAGATGTGGAGAGTTATGATTCCATATGTTCTGAAGTGATAAGATCTATAAAAGTAAAAGGATTTCATGGGGTAAGGATTCTAACCCCACGTTCAACCAGTTAAGAATTCAAAGTTATACTTCTAGAGTGACTAAAAAAACTCGGCATACTTACCTGGTCTATCATATAATTTAACCCATATCTGCGAGGGAAATTTGGATTTATGCCTTCTGAATTCATATCCTTTACTAGGGAATCATTTACTACTACTATTATAGTTGATGTTTCTGTTCATCTTGTTATTTATTTA